AGACACCGGCCCCGTCGGTTGCCCCGACCCCGCCGGCCATGGGGCGGTTATTTGGGGAGGCGGGGGGAACCCTCGTGGTGCCGACGGCAGCGAAACGCGCCTTTTCCCCCCAAACGCGCCTTTTCCCCCCCAGGACTTGACCTCTTCTGGAGGTTTCCCCGGGCGGGCGGGGGCAGGCGGCTCCCCCCCCCCCCGCTTTAAAACGGCCTCCAGGCCTAGGCCTGGGCGCAAAAACGGGGGCCGTCGTTATGCACTTAGTCCCCGGGGAGTTAAAAGCATCTGAGACTAACGAAGGTGCACAGAAACGTGTTATATTTGTATAAAGTAAGTACAGGCGTATGACAGTTTTGGTTTTTTTCCTCTGAAAAATATTAAAAGACTAGCTTTGTGCCATGGCTGTCCTGTGAGATAGATTACAGTTATTTTATTGGGGGGGGAAAGAAAATGGTCCCCGCTGCAATCCACGCTGCAATCTTTAATTGCAGCCAGGGGAATGGCCGCTCCACCGCGCAAACGCCCACGCACACAAAACCGCCACCCCGTCCTCTTTTCAGCAGGTGGAGAGAGAGGGACAGACGGCGTCCCTGCTCTTTTCCCGGCCCCTGAGTGTTCATTTTCCTGACCCTAGTGGCCATCCAAGGGGTGGAATCACGCCACAGCTCCCCCAATTACTGTTATTACCGTCAGAAGTTTTCTGCGTGGTAATAGGAGGAGCGCACACCGCGCACAAAGCACCAGCCTTAGGCGCTGGGCTGGGATTAGACTTTTTTTTTTTTTCCCAACGGCTCGTCATGAAATAGTGATCTCATCACGATAATCTGGGTTTGCCGAGGAGAGGAAAGTGCCTCCCAGCCTCCTTTCTGATGGCTGAAGGCTCGGCCTGCTTCTGGGCCCTTTGAGCTCAGTCAGAGTGTTGCTGTTGGCTCGGGTGGGGGTGCTTGTTGGGGGGGCTCTGTCCCCTTCTAGTCGTCCCCCTAAGGGTGCAAAGCCGGGAGAGATGGTGTGGGATCGGGCCTGCGCTGCTCGGGATGATATCTTCCCGAGCTGGATGGGTTGCCACATCTGCAGGGGCAAAACAAGCGAGGCCGCTGTGATTGCTAAATGATGTATTAAAAATATAATTGGTTGGGGTAGGAGAGGCGGGGGAGGGAAGAGAAGGTGACTGCAGAAAGGCGTGTTTCCACTTGGATGGCCGAACGAAGATATTAGGAGTAAAACCCACAAGATAATTGACATGCCTCATCCACATTATCCACCCAAAGCCCTAAGTGATATTTTTTTTTCCCCCTGAAATTTGATATAAAGGTGGCCAAAGTACCCGACAAATAAATGGGACGAATGGGTGTGGGGGCAACCTTTTCCGGATGAGTTCCGTGCACCCTGCGAGCCTGAGGACCCCGTGGGAGCCCACGCTCATCCCTGGAAATCGGAGATCCCCCCCCCACCACTGTCCCCCTCGTATGCAAGGACACCGCGGCCCAGACTGACCCGACCCTGGTGCCAAGGGGCAGCCGCTCATCCCCAAACCCCCGGGGGGCTGCCCCCCTCCCTGGCTTTCTCTCGGAGCGCGGCTTCCCCCTCCACATCCTCTCCCCGAAAATAAACACCCAGCGCCCCTTCCCGCCCCTCCGAGCAGCCAAACCGGCAGGAACACGGTCCTGTAGGGTGACTAAACGTGGAGATGGAAGGGGGGGCGAGAAGATGCTGTTGGCGTGAGCCCCCTTGCCTCTGCCCCGGGCGCCGGTGGGGTGTATATCGACTGGGTGGGGGCGGTGGTGGTGTAAAAACCAGCTCGGGAGCCAAACAGGGGCTTTCCTTCCCCGGTAAAGGTGGTGCAGACCGCGGCCCGCGGAACGGGGAGGAGGTCAAGCACTTTGGCGAGTGCCGTTTGACAGAGGTGACAAGCCAGGAGCGGTCTGCAGGGCTGGGGGCGGCTGCGCCCAGGGGTCCTTGGACTTCCCCCAGAGGAAAGCGGAGTTGCAAACATCCAGGAGCCCGGTGGTGGCGGGGATGGGGCGGGGGGGGCAGGAGCGGGGAGCGGTGTGTGCGTGGGTGAACGCCGCAGGGAAGGTGGGACAGCCGGGGATGGCTAAAGGTCCGGCAGCAGTCCTTGGCCGACCCACAGGCCCGCGG